AATAAACCCAAATTTGATTTTTTTTTTTTTTTTTTTTTTGAAAAAATAAGCAATCAAAACCATTATTAAACCAAGCCATCATTATGCTGTCCACTAAAAATGAGATATTGGTCATTGCAGTTTCCTTATTCAAAACAAACATTCCAAAAAGTAAAATTGCTATGCAATGTTGGGTTTAAAAATTATTTGTACATTAAAAAATGTGATAGTTTTAATATATAAAAATTCAAACAAAACTTTTCCGAGTGAGTCTGGTGGCTTCAGCATCTTCAGTCACTGCATCTGTCATGTAGTTGAATCTAAAAACACTGAGCAAACACTAGTTTCACTTATTAGTGTCTGATGAATCCAGACTCACCAGGTCTTTGAAGGCTCCCAGTACAGCAGCGGTGATGATGCCCAGAAACACGCCGAGCACATTGAGCGTCACACAGGCCCACAGCAGACGGTACAGATTCACCACGTCCCAGCAGCTGCTCACACCCGTGAACTCATAGTACTGCACACGATAGTCCACGCTAAAACACACACACACACATGCAGTACAACGCTCAGTAACACACAGCTGTGCTGCAAATGCTCAGTGACTGATGCGTGTGCTTCACCTGTCACAGTGGAATAAGTCACAGCAGTAGCAGGTGTTGCTCTTCACCTTGAGTTTACACTGATTACCGTAGGAATGACAGTGAACCTGAACACAGCAAATCAACACGTTTATACTTTAAACTTGACATTATGAACTATATTGTGGCTTTTATGACAAACTGGTCATTCTGTTCCTCATGTGTGAGCTGCTTTCACTCTTAAAAAAGAGGGTTTTCGCAGTGATGCTGTAGAAGAACCATTCTTGGTTCCTCAAAGAACCTTTCAGTGAACTCTTCTTAACCCTCATGTTGTGTTTCAGTCATTTCGACACAGAGAGGATTTTCTTTTTCCAGAAAAGACTAGTTAATGTTATTGCATTGGACTAAAACCCACTGACTTTGCCCACAGCTTACCAAAGCTGTGCTATTTTGACTGATTGATCGCAGGCCTCGTTGATCTGAGCTTATCCACCTCAGTTTTTGAATGAACATTTCCAAAATTATCCACAAATAATGCTTTTTTTAACCCAAAAACTGAGAATTATTGCCAAAGTGATCCACAATTCCATACAAACCACAAAATATTGCCAGAATTATCTGCAAATATTGTTTTTCTCTCAAAAACTGAATTTTGGCAGAATTATCCACAAATAATGCTTTTTTACTCATAAACTGAATATTGCCAAAATTACCTGTAAATATTTTGACTGATTGATCGCAGGCCTCGTTGATCCACCTCAGTTTTTGAATGAACATTTCCAAAATTATCCACAAATAATTACTTAATAAAATAAAAATAATTTTAACCCAAAAACTAAGAATTTTTGTCAAAGTGATCCACAGTTCCATCCAAACCAGCGTCTGCTAAATGAATAAATGTAAATATAAATATTGCCAAAATTGTCAGCAAATATTGTTTTTCACTCAGAAACTGAATATTGCCCGAATTATCCATAAATAATGTTTTTTTTTACTCAAAAACGGAATATTGGCAAAATTCTATGAATTATTTATTTTTTTACTCAAAAACGATTATTGCCAAAATTATCCACAAATAATGCTTTTTTACAAAAAAAAAATTAATACTGCCCAGATTATCTGCCAATAGTGCTTTTTTTCACTCAAAAACTGAGATGCATAAGCTCAAATCAACAAGTCCCATGATCAATCCCAAAAAAAAAAACCTGCGCTAACTGACAGAAAACAGGTTGATAAAAATATTGAACCCAAGGTTTGGTGATTGGAGAGATTTACAAGCAATTTTTAAAAGGCAGGTCATTTTCAACCAGCAGCACAGCAAACCATTAATGCCAACAAAGAACCTTTATTTTTAAAGAGTGTGAAGAAAAGTGTCTGCCGAACTGATGATCAGACTGAAGTCACGTTCATATCTGACCAGCAGAGGAAAGCAGAGCACATGATCCTTCAGTGAGTCAGTGACTGATAAACAGCCATAATCATCAGTGTGTGGATTTCAGATGAGCTCACCTCAATGTAGTAATTATCATAGCTGTAAGAAGAGCTGGAGTAAAACTCACAGCGGCCCTCCATCAGTGGCCTCCTGTCCTGCGCGCACACACGCACACACACACACACACACACACACACACACACACACACACACACACACAGTACAGTACTCATCTCAGGACTGATGTTTGATGAGCAGCAGGTGAACAGATACTCACGATGAACTCAGCCGCGATGATGCCGTCGATGATGGAGCAGAGGAAACACGACACGACACCCAGACTGATGAAGATGATGGAGGCCACCAGCTGACCCACACAAACACACACACACACACACACACACACACACACTGTTAAATCACCACCGCATGAAGGACACACACGTGAGGAGATGAGAAAACAACATCATTATATCACCAGATGAATCACATCTCAACCCCAAAATCAAAAATTATTAGATCAAGTATAATTGTGCAAACATCCACCTTCAGGAATGATCTTCACAAGCCTCCAAAACATCTCACGTCTGAGGAGCATTTATTTCGTCATTGGATTGCATTGCATTATATGTTTGGATCATTTCAATCTCATCTTACTGAGACAGATTACTGGAGATATAGAGCGAACAGTGATATTTACATCATTTTATGTCAGTCTCTGCTGTACTGTTAGAAAGATCTCATCAAGAAACATCAGGATTTCATCATAGAAATATCAAGTATTCAGAGTCTCTGAATAAAATGTTTTCTTCTCCCTTCATATTTTTTACTATATCATACTATATGAGCCTGATGGATCAAATATGATACTCAAAACACATGCAACATTTTTTTGGATTTTTAAAATACTTTGTCTAAAGTTTCAAAAAAACTGTTTCATTAAAACATTCAATTTTTCTGATTATTATTTCATATGTCAGATTTTACAGGATTAAAATAATCAGAAATTAAACACAGAACAACAAATAAAGCCATGTTCATGTTTTAAAACGACATACAACAACAACAGTCGATGCAAATGATCATTTCAAGATTTTGATGATGAGCTGGACATTTTCTCAGTAGGATTTTAAGAAAATTAAAGACAAATTAACTTTATTTTTAGACTTTTTTTTTGTAATGAGGACATCCCTAAAAGGAGTTGTTGTGAGGGTTTTGTCAGATTTAACTTGTCTCCAAAATATACATACGTAGGTACAAAGCTATTGTGTTATTTTTAGTATCACTGAGATACTATTATAGTTTTTATTACTATTTTGAATCAGTATTTATTTTTTACATTTTCAGTTTTCATTTTAATTTTAGTTAAAGTTTTAGTAATTTGTTTGTTAATAATGTTTTTGTCACTTTCAGTATTTTTTAATATATACACACGTGGTCAGAATTATCGGCACCCTTGGTAAATGCTCCTATAATGCGTGATGAGGTTAGAGAGCACCTGACAAGAGATCAGAGACACTTCCTTCATCCAGAATCTCTCCAGACCCTTCAGATTCACAGCTCCTCCTCTTTCAGCTTGGTTTTGAGTTGAGTGACATATTTTTGTGTTGTTTTTAAGGTTTGTGTTTGGATTATTGTCCGGTTGGAAGATCCAAACATGGCCCATTATAAGATTTCTAACAGAGTCAGTCACTTCTTGATTTTTTATCTGTTGCTATTTGATAGAATCAGTGATGCTATGTGTCTAAACAAGATGTCCAGGACCTCCAGCAGAAATATAGGCCCACAACATCAAAAATACAGCAGTATATTTCATTGTACACATGGGGTACTTTTTATCCCTGTATGCATCAAACCCATCTTGAGTGTTTGCTGCTAAAAAGCTCATTTATTAGTTACATCTGAGCATAGAAGTCAGTCCCATTTGAAGTTCCAGTCGTGTCTGACAACTGAATATGCTGGGGATTGTTTTTGGATGAGAGCATTTTCTTTTGTTGGTTTTTTTTCTTGAAGCCCTCCCAAACAACATGTGGTGATGTAGGTGCTGTTTGATCGTTTTTTGAAGGTTTTCTGACCCTGAGACTCAGTTCTCCAGCTGTGGTCCTCAGAGAGTCTTTAATCACTCAAACTCTCCTCCTCAGCGTGCATTAGGACGATATAGACTGCTGCACATCAGAAATATATTCTTTGTTTTTTCTCATTGTGACGGATGATTAAGGGAATTTGGGCTTTGTTTTCCCTCCTATTTATATTCCTGTGAAACAGCAAGCCACGGCTGGATAATCTCATGTTCATAATCACCCTGGTGTACTCAAAATTGTGAATATGAATGGGAATATACTTCAGAATTTCTAGGGGTTCCAGTAATTGTGTCCAACGTGTATTTGAGAAAAAAACCTTCTTTGATCATATTTACCAAGGGTGCCAATAATTCTGACCATGTGTGTACATACATGTCTTTATTATAGACATGTGCATATCTGTTTTTTTATACATATATATGTCTATAATAACCCTGGTATAAACTCTCACACTCTCTCTCACACTCTCTCTCTCTCACACTCTCTCACTCTCTCTCTCACACTCTCTCTCACACTCTCTCTCACACTCTCTCTCACACTCTCTCTCACACTCTCTCTCAATTTATTGCAAGCTGTGAGAGACTGAAATTAGAGAAAGTCTACACACAAACAAACCAAAAATGATATCTTAAGAAATTATGATTACATCACTGATTACACACACACACACACTCTCTCTCTCACACACACATACACACACACACACACACACTCTCTCACACCCCCCCAGACACACACTCTCACTCTCACACATTCATACACTCTCTCACTCTCACACACACACGGGGTGCTCTACGGTCTCCTGGTCTCCAGCATCTGCATGAGGACTGACTGCAGTAGTAAAGTAAACGTAGAGCGGTGTGCAGCTCCGGTCTGCTGGCACAGGGCTTTATGGGTGATTTACAGCAGCAGTAACACAGGAAAGGTCACTCTCTCATATACAGTCTCTTCAGGAGCCTCGTCGTGTCCTGGGTTTGTTTAATCACAGGCTCTGATTGGCTGATGAGCAGCTGATGATCAAACTCACATTCACATCTGTCAGAGCCACTATTACAACAAAAAACTGTTACAAAACTATTTTTGTTAACTGAAATATATGTATAACTAATACATGCAAAACTGAAACAAAAATTGGAAATGTTGCCTGTTGACTGAAATAAGTTGATTATCTGTGAATAATAATAATAATAATAATAAATACCAAATATTAATATGTAAAAAATAATAATAATTTGATATTAATCCTAAAACATGACCAAGCACAAACTAAAAACTTTACTAAAATTAAACTGAAAATACAAAAATAAAATTGAATTCAAAATATTACCAAAACCTATAACCGTATATAATTTCATTATATATGGTTATAGGTATATAACCTCTATCAGGTTAACTGATAGAGCTTC